GCCATCGCTCGGACGTCCATTCCGGTTGTTTTTTCCGCTTCGTGCGTGGTTTTTTCGCTAAATGGTCAAGGATGCTCCTCGATGGTCCTCGCCGAAGGAAAAATGCACACGTCCGAGCGATGCCGAGCCAGTGGCCGCGGCGGCGGCTCTCCACACTTTTTTGGTCTGCGGGCCGAGAGCGAGCCTCTTCCGCTTGAGAGCTATAGGCGGGCCGCGCAGAGCACTACGTAATTGGGGAGACAGGGCGCGGGCGGGCGGGGCCGCGGCAGCTCCGCACGGGCGGATGCGCGGACGATCCCGACTGCCTGGTGCGCCACGAGCGGTGCGGACACCTACACTGAAGGGGCCCTGGGACACACAAATAAATACACACAAGTAAAAAGATTCCCCACATTCTGCCATATGTTCTGGGTTTTTGTCTTCCCCACCACTTCCCATATTTTCCCATACTTTCCTGGGGAATCGACGATTATTTGTGTCTGTGTGTTTTTGTTCCCTCCTGATGCACCACAGGATAGGGCCATGTCCCGACGTCGGCGGCATGCGCCCGGGGGCGGTCGACGACAACACATCAGGAGGCGTGCGACCCAGGCGGAGCCCAAGGAGTTGTCCTTCGCACGCGGCCTCACACCACGAGCGGGATCCCGCCTCCCGTGTACACACGCAGTCCTGGTGCTGCGGCACGGGCAGGCAAGACATGACGAGCACGGGTGAGATCCTCACGGACGGATCGGCCGGGTGCCCACGGCATCGGCCGGATGCGAACCGATCAGGCTGCGGCATGGAGGTGCAAGCGCTTGCTCGGCATGGCATGCGCGCCGCTGCCAGGCCCCCAGCAGCGCGCGCAGCGCGGCGAGCTCTATGCCGTCATCCAGGCGCTCGAGCACGGCCAGCTGCCCATGCACATCAAGGCGGACTGTCTGGTCTTCGTCGAGGGCCTCGAGAGCGGCAAGAGACGCACCACCCACCCGCACAGGGACAACGCAGACTTGTGGCACCAGCTCTGGCACGCCTTGGAAGACACCCGACAAGAGCCACCCGACATGCCTGGAAGCTGGAGAGTCACCCGACAAGATTGGCAACGACTACGCCGACACGGCAGCCAAGAAGGCACTGACAACCCACGGAGTACCATACACCGTGTATCATAGGCACTCGGAGATGCTCGACGAGGTGCGCCAGGTGGCCGCGTGGATCGGCAACAGCCAAGCGCAGCTGGAGGCACGAGCTGCGGACAGGGCCCAGACCTTTGGGCGCCGCGGGCGCGGCCGTGCTGCCATGAGGCAGGAAGCACGCGGCGACGGACGCCGTGGAGAGGACCAGCCTGGCCAGAAGGTGAGAGTGAGAAAACATGTGCCTGTCTCGTGCCAGCGAGGCTGGCGATGTGCGCACTGCCCTAGATCCGTTCACTCCCTCGCTGGTCTGGCTCGCCTCCGTCGGGGCAGGTGCCAGACGAACCCTGGTTTAGACGAACCCTGGTTTGGCTCGTGTCCCGTTGGGTCCTGGGGTCGTGGGGCCTGTGAAGCGCCCTCGGGAGGAGGATCAAGATACCTCGAGGGTGCCCAGATCCCGCGGATCCGACCGTGAGTCCCCAGGTGGGCTGCGTGAGCTGGTTACCCCAAGGCCAGTGGCGGCCCAAGATCGGGAGCGTAGTAAGAGAGAGAGAACGAGGAGCGTGACCGTCGTCTGGAGGACGCCGAGGAGCAGACGGAAGGGTCCCGCAGGGTGGTGAAGCCTCGGGTCACCCCACCTCCCCCGTCGACCCCCGCTCCGACGCCTCCTGGGCATCCATATTTGGACTCCTCCCCTCACCCCACTGCGGCTGCCGCCGCGCGTCGCCTGGCCGACCCCCAGCACGGCCCAAGGGGGAAAGCTCCTGGGAACCTTCACTCTTCCTGTTCCTCCTTCTCCTCCTCCTCCTCGCTCGGACCCCGCTCTGACACCCGTGCCCCTCCCCCTCGGCGTCGCTCGGATCCCGAAGGTGGCCCGGAGAGAGTGCGAAGTCAGCCGTGCGTCGAGCCGTGCAGGCGGGTCCCTTCCTCTGGGGGCCCTCCGGCGGCCCCGTGGGGCCTCAAAGAGGCCGTGCGCGGTGCGGCGGCGGCCGTGACCTCGCGAGGCGTGCAGCGCGCGCTGCGGGGCACCCCGCCGTCGGTCGCGGACGCGGGCACGCCCAGCGAGCCGCTGCCGAGGTAGGGAGAGGTGCCGCCCCAGAGTGCCCGAGGTCGCGTGCTGCATGGATCTCGGGGTTACTGCGGGCGGCAGTACGATGTGGGGCGCTCTCGGCCAGAACGGCGCGCACTCAACTCCTCTGGGGTTGTGAGACCCCGAGGCTGCCCCCCTGCAAGGGAACCCCCAGAGGAAGTGGAGGCGGGACAACTTTCTGACGGGCATCCACCCCGAGGGGGGAAAGCCCCACACCCTTCCCCCTCCTGCGCAGGCCCCTTGTCACAGACAATGCGGTGAAATGGCTTGGCCTGCTATCAATACAACTCCATAGTTTTCATGTGCTTTATCTTGTGGGGCCTCCTGTCACTGCCATGATGCGTCGGCTGGGTACTAGTGCTCTGGGGCCCCACATTGCTTGGTGTTCGATCGCGCGTTCTATCCTTTTCCTGCATCCTCATCATCATCATCATCATCATCATCATCATCATCATCATCATCATCATCATCATCATCATCATCATCATCATCATCATCATCATCATCATCATCATCATCATCATCATCATCATCACATCATCATCATCATCATCAACATCATCATCATCATCATCATCCATCATCATCATCAACAACATCATCATCATCATCATCAGCATCATCATCAGCCATCAGCGTCATCATCATAATCATCAGCAGCAGCAGCATCATCAGCAGCATCATCAGCAGCATCATCAGCATCATCAGCATCGTCATCACCAGCATCAGCATCAACATCATTATCATCATCATCATCATCATCATCATCGTCATCATCATCATCATCGTCATCAGCATAAGCATCATCAACATCATCATCATCAGCATCATCATCAGCATCAGCATCATCACAATCATCATCATCACCATCATCATCATCATCATCATCATCATCATCATTATCGTCATCAGCATCATGATCATCATCATCATCATCAGCGTCATCATCATGACCAGAATCCGCATCATCATCACCATCGACAGCAGCATCATCATCAGCTTGATCATCATCATCAGCACGATGAGGATCATCATCATCATCAATAGCAGCGTCAACATCATCAGCAGCATCAGCATCATCATCAACGTCATCCTCATGATCAGCATTCACCATCATCAACAGCATCAGCATCATCAGCCGCATCATTATCAGCAGCATCAGCATCATCGCCATCGTCAGCATCAGCATCATCAGCATCATCGTAATCGTCAGCATCAGCATCATCAGTATCATCGTCATCATCAACATCATCGACATCATCAACATCATCATCGGCATCAACAGCAGCATCATCATCACCATCAGTATCATCATCCTCGGCAGCAGCAGCATCATCATCATCATCATCATCATTATCAGCAGCATCGTCATTATCATCGTCATCATCATCAACGACAACAACAGCAACAACAACAGCATCATCTGAATCACCAACATCATCGTCACCAGCATCAGCAACAACAGCATCATCATCACCATCAACAAAAATATCACCATCATCGACATCATCAGCATCATCAGCATCATCACGATCATCATCATCAATAGCAGCGTCAACATCATCGTCGTCATTGTTAGCGTCATGGTCATCTGCATCATTGTGATCATCATCATAATCATCATCATAACCATCATCATTATCAGCAGCAGTCTAATCATAATCGTCCTTCTCCTCTTCCTCCTCTTCCTCCTCTCTCGCTTACACATGGCATTCCTGCTTCTGGATCCTTGTCCATTCTGCATGTGTACACGGGATCCGAAGACGTATCCCTAGTGCACAGGGCCTCGGCTGAGTACCTTTACCATAATCAGTGCGGGCAGTGCTGTCGCCATCGTGCCCCCTGTGCGACAAGCACATGGCACCAACAGGAAAACTGCGCGACCAAGACACTTACGAATTGCAGCGCTGCTCCGCAACGCCCCATCATTCCACCACAGTTGGGGTACGAGGCCAGGCAATGCCACAAGCAACTGCGCGCGAGGGTACATCCACAGACAGCACGAGAATTGCGAAAGCTTTGATATAGGGAACACCTCCAAAGACATCATTCACCAAACGCTGATGTGGCACTGCACATAAGATTGTGCGTATGTCCCAGGACGTTATATGTACCAGTTCGCCAGGAGTTACCGAACGATGAGCCACAACGAAAAGATGTGTCTTCATGACCAGTGCAATAGTATTACGTGGTCGGCTAGCATCTATAATAACGTCCCCACGATATAACAAGCGAGTTCAACAGATTGGGCTGCGCACGTATCATCCGGACATCTACTCCCCGGTCTTACCACAACGCAAGCGGCACCATGAGAAGATTCGATCGCAGACGGCCTGATTTTTATATGTTATGTATTTAATTGTTTTATATATGTATTCTTCGCAGACGGCCCGAAAAATGCTGAATCGAGCAATATCATCATTGCTCCCCTCCTTCCTCGGTATCCTGGTCATATCAGTATCCCGCTCCTCCTCCGTTTCTTCATCCTCATCATCATCACCACCACCACCACCATCATCCCACTTCATGTTCCTCCTCCTCCTCTTCCTCCTCCTTTTACTCTTCCTCCTCCTCGTCCTCCTCTTCGTCGTCCTCCTCCTCCCCCTCCTCCTCCTGCTCCTCCTCCTCCCCCTCCTCCTCCTCCTCCCCCTCCCCCTCCTCCTCCTCCTCCTCCTCCTCCTCATCCTCCTCCTCCTCCTCCTCCTCCTCCCTCCTCCTCCTCCTCCTCCTCCTCCTCCTCCTCCTCCTCCTCCTCCTCCCCCTCCTCCATCCTTCCTGTTTCCTGATCCCCGCTGGACCATCGTCGGCTGGAACCATAGGAACAAAGCCCTTGACAGAAGACTGGCGTCCTCCATGGCGGCCGCTGGGGGGAGGACCTGGGAACTCGAGCTCCGTCTCGCGAGCGAAAGGAAGGCCCACAACGCCCGCTGAATGACACCAGCGTGCCGCGGCATGCCTGCTCAACTTCCGCTCGCTGCCCCCACGTGCGAAGGAGGAAGAAGAAGAGGAGCAGGAGGAGGAGGAAAAGAAAAAATAGGATACCCGCCGACCGAATCTCCTTACCGCCGCGCCACCGCCAACACCGCACGATCCAAACGCCAGCGGGTTCCCAAGCACACCATGCACGACGCCCCGAGCAGCATTCTTACCCCCCCTCCTGCTCCTCTTGCTCCTCCTCCTCCTCCTCCTCCTCTTTCTCTTGCTCCTCCCCCTCCTCCTCCTCCTCCTCCTCCTCCTCCTCCTCCTCCCTCTCCTCCTCCTCCTACTACTACTACTACTACTACTACTACGACGACGACGACGACGACGAAGACGACTACGACGACGACGACGACTACCTACTACTACTACTATTACTACTACTCTACGACTACTACTACTACTACTACTACTACTACTACTACTACTACTACTACTACTACTACCTACTACTACTACTACTACTACTACTACTACTACTACTACTACTACTACTACTACTACTACTACTACTACTACTACTACTAACTACTACTTCTACTTTTACTATTACTATCACTACTACTACTACTACTACTACTACTACTACTACTACTACTACTACTCTACTACTACTACTACTACTACTACTACTACTACTCCTATCCTTATTCTTATTAGAATATACTCCTACTCCCCCCTCAGGCCGGCCATTAGGGGCCGCATCCGGGGGGTCCCATCCTAACCTGTAAAAAACAATACAAAATCAACATTTTTCTTATTTTTTCCTCTCGACATGGACGTCCTGTCGTCCACGGCGATAATCCATTGCAAAAAATACCACAAAGAGCACACGCGCGCGTTCATGTCAGAATCCTACCGAACACCGTGTGTTTGCAAGCATTTCAACATAAAAACATCAAAAACCCAATGCTTTTTCACAAAAAATGTACAAATTTCCCGCCCGGGCTCTCTTGCTGAAATCATGAGAAAACCATAGGAATCTTAAGAATTCTGTCAAATCCAGCGATTTCACGTCATCGCGCGGTGCACTCGCGATGCTCTGTCATGCACCCAGGCCGCGAATCCTGTGCAAAAAAAACCACAAAGAGCACACTCGCGCGTTCATGTCAGAATCCTACCGAACACCGTGTGTTTGCAAGCATTTCAACATAAAAACATCAAAAACCCAATGCTTTTTCACAAAAATGCTTTGGGGTGTCCTGTCAGACCGTCGGGCTTCCTCCGGCCACCTCTGGCTTCCTGCGGTGTACCGGGCCATTCTCGACTCGTCTGGCAATGCGTGCGCGGCATTCAACACGCGCTCGCCAGTTCCCGTCGGCAACCGCCATCGCGGCCGCATCAGCTGTACCAAACCGGCTGGCCGGTGTGACTTCGGCCCCCAGTTGTGCCAGCTTTGCTTCTTATGTTGTGGGAGGGCGGGTGGGACTGGGCATGCCATGCTTGACTCGCTCGAGCTGGCTAGCTTGAACTCCTATCCTTATTCCTTATTAGAATATACTCCTACTCCCCCCTCAGGCCGGCCGATTAGGGGCCGCATCCGGGTGGTCCCATCCTAACCTGTAAAAAACAATACAAAATCAACATTTTTCTTATTTTTCCTCTCGACATGGACGTCCTGTCGTCCACGGCGATAATCCATTGCAAAAAATACCACAAAGAGCACACGCGCGCGTTCATGTCAGAATCCTACCGAACACCGTGTGTTTGCAAGCATTTCAACATAAAAACATCAAAAACCCAATGCTTTTTCACAAAAATTGTACAAATTTCCAGCCCGGGCTCTCTTGCTGAAATCATAGGAAAACCATAGGAATCTTAAGAATTCTGTCGAATCCAGCGATTTCACGTCATCGCGCGGTGCACTCGCGATGCTCTGTCAGGCACCCAGGCCGCGAATCCTGTGCAAAAAATACCACAAAGAGCACACTCGCGCGTTCATGTCAGAATCCTACCGAACACCGTGTGTTTGCAAGCATTTCAACATAAAAACATCAAAAACCCAATGCTTTTCACAAAAATGCTTTGGGTGTGTCCTGTCAGACCGTCGGGCTTCCTCCGGCCACCTCTGGCTTCCTGCGGTGTACCGGGCCATTCTCGACTCGTCTGGCAATGCGTGCGCGGCATTCAACACGCGCTCGCCAAGTCCCGTCGGCAACCGCCATCGCGGCCGCATCAGCTGTACCAAACCGGCTGGCCGGTGTGACTTCGGCCCCCAGTTGTGCCAGCTTTGCTTCTTATGTTGTGGGAGGGCGGGTGGACTGGGCATGCCATGCTTGACTCGCTCGAGCTGGCTAGCTTGACTCCTACTCCTACTCCTACTACTACTACTACTACTACTACTACTACTACGACTACCACTACTACTACTACTACGACTACTACTACTACTACGACTACTACTACTACGACTACTACCACTACTACTACTACTACTACTACTACTACTACTACTACTACGACTCCTACTACTACTACTACTACTACTACTACTACTACTACTATAAGTAATAGCATTCTTCGCATTGGTACTAGTACTACTAAACTTCATAGTACCGTTCGTAATACAAGTATTCTCGTAGTACTATTGTTCTTCGTCTTGATAATACTAGTAGTGTTCGTATGATTGTTCTTCTTCGGATTCTTATTATTAGTCATGATCTGTTTAGTATTCGCAATGTGCTTATTAAAACTGTTATGCTGCATGTGTCTTATTAGTTTTCCGCCTCGTCCTCCTCTTCCTCCTCCTGCTGTTCCTCCTCCTCTTCGTCCTCCCCCCTGTCCTCCTCCGTAGCCATTTTGGCTCAAGCCGCTTTGGCTCCAGATTTTGCTTTGGGCGGGCTGAGCCCGCATTAGCAATCACGGATACCGCTATTCCGCGGCAGTGCCAGGGTGCTTGCGCCCGACATCCACTCACCTGGTCCGCCCCAGGTTGGAACCCATCCTCCAGCGAGCTGGGTCAGTGAGCTCTGTTGAGCATTCCCATGGGCGGGAAAAAATATCAGGACAAGAGCAATGTGCGGGGCTTCACCTGGTGCCAGAGCGGCCAGAACTGGGCTTGGAACTGGCGCCTCAAGCGCCAGGACGGCAGGCACGGCGTCTGCGGCGAGACCTGCTTCTTCCCTGACCCGAGCTGGAACGCCTGGAACACCGCCGGCGGAGGCAACTACAGTGGCGGCAGCGGCGGCAACCAGAAGGGCGGCAAGCGCGGCGGTCAAGGAGGTGGGCAAGCGCGGCGGTCAAGGAAGTACCTGGCCGCCGCTGGTCTCACCAGCGACCCCACGGCGCTCGGCCTGGTCGACAAGGCGCAGGCCCAGGCGCTTGCCATCGCGCCCAAGGCCCCGCCGAAGTGGCCCCACGCGCTCCAGAGGGAGGCCGCCGCGCCCAGAAGCAGAACGCCCTCAACCAGGCCGCGGAGAAGCTGGTCCAAGCGGAGGGGCGCCCCCAGGAGGCGAAGGAGCGCCAGCTGCTCGCGGCGGCGGCGCTCTACGACGCGGACCAGGAGCGCATCCTCGCCCAAGAGGCCGTCAATGCCGAGGAGGCGCCGCTTCCGCCTGCCTCTGAGCCCGTCGGCGTCGACGCCGACCTCTTCCAGCACATTGACGAGTTTGAGGAGGGGGAGCAGGTGCAGCTGCGCGAGTTCCAGTCGCAGTTCGCGGGAGTCAGAGAGGAGGCCAGGCGTCGCGAGAAGCAGTCCCAAGACATCCTCACGCAGGCTCGCACGACCCTGCCGGCGCCCAAGAAGAAGCGCAAGGGCCCTGAGGGCGAGGCCCAGGAAGTCGATGAGGAGGCCCCGCCAGGCCACGCCGAAGGCACCGCCCAGTCGCCTGCGGGCGCGCCGCCCCCTGCCAAGGGAGCAGGCAAGGGCCCCAACGTCGAGCTCTCCGCCGAGACCAAGGAGCGGCGGGAGGCTGCCATCGCCCACCTTGCCGAGGGCGCCCACGCGGCAAAGACCACGGCGGCGGCTGCGGGCTCGGTCGCTCCCCAGCCTGCCCCAGCGGCTGCCGCTGCTGGCCCTTCTTGCCCTTAATCAGGCGAGCGGCGGCGCCCTGCCGCCCGCCACGTCGACGTCGCCGACGCCGACGAAAACCTCTACGAGCATTACCGAGCGGGGCCCGGCGGCCCAGCGGCACATCACCGAACATCACTTCAAGACCTCGATCGTCAGCCTGGTCGAGACCCACAAAGGCGCCTCTGATTTGGACAGTATCGAGGTGGATTTGCACAAGGACGGGCGGCTGCTCCATGCCACCGCAGCGCGGCCCTCGGGACGCTCTGAAGCTGGATTGTCAGGAAGCGAGTGGATGCTCCCCCGACCCCATGTCGCTACCACGTCCTTCCAGAGGATGCGCAACACGATGAGATCGGAGAGACGGGTGGACCCATGCAAGGGTTTTGCGCTGCCCACTCTCCACATGAAGCTGGGCAGTGTTGTGGCCATTGCAGCGCATCTACAGCCTGGGATGCAGTTCCGAGGCATCAACAACGACATCATGGTCGCCCTAGCGGCATTCGCCCGTGCCCTCACGGACCCTTGGTTGATCATGGCGGATTGGAACGTTGAGCCAGAGGGATTCCTCGAGAGTGGATGGTTGCGCCAACTGGGAGGGCGCTTCGCCTTGCCCGACTGCAAGGCCACGTGCGACAAGGGCAAGGGCAGGATGTACGATTATGGTGTTGCGTCCATTGACTGCCCTTCATTGAAGGTCTCGGCGGAGCTGGCTGCACCTTGGAAGACGCACTGCGCTCTTCTCATTGAAGTTGAGGGGGCCCGCCAAGCACGGTTGTGCACGCAGCTCGCCACACCAAGCCCGCAGCCTTCATCGCCCTATCCTGCCAAGGCGTTTGACCCTAACAGCAAGGGGCAGCGCATGCTAGCTGCTGGACGTGCTCGCCGAGAAGAAGCCCTTCCTCCTGAACTACGGGGGGGCTTTGCCCACGTCGACGAGCTCTTGCAGGAGGACGAGGCGGAGGCTGCGCACGTCCCTCCCTCGTTCGCGGTGGGTATGGAGAGCTGGCTGGAGGCAGCTTCGGACTTGGCGGGCCCGTCGCTCACTCTCCCTACTGCGACTACGGCAACACCCTCGGCTACGGCATCCTGTGCTGGTATGTGTGCCCTGGACGAGGCCCACGGAGTCGGGGGAGTGCCCCGCGGACTCATGTACTACACCTATGGCTACTCCCTCGGCTATGGCGTCGTGTGCTGGTATGTGCGCCCTGGTAGATGCACACGGGGTCGGGGGACTGCCCCGCGCGCCCACATGCATTACGGCTTCGGCTGTTAGAACGCAAGTCCCAGCTCCCAGTTGCACCCATGCGGTAAACAGCGACAGAGAATGGGCCCAGTCGCCAAGTTATTTGCTGGAGCCTGCCCCCAGGTGCACCCAAGGGGTAAACAGCGAGCGGGGCAGGCCCGCCTCGATGCGGGAAGCTGCTGTGGGTCGCGGTGCCGCTGGAGGCTTCACGGAGGCCATGGGCCAGAACCCTGCGAGGCGAGCGGCCGCGTCGGCGCGCATGGCGCTCGAGAGGAGGCTGAGGGCCCACGCCACGTTCTGGCTCCAGGACGTCTCAGTGCTTACGAAGCCGGAGATAGAGCGCCCTTGCTGCGCTTGTGCGTGTCCGACGTGGCCGCCACTCGTCTCCGAGGCCGCTCGGATGGCAGACATCGACAACATGGGCGTGGTCAGACTCAGGGTGGCGCAGGACTTTTGCGAGGAGGCGTGGGCCGCAAGGCGGCGCACGCGCGCCAACTACCACGCCAATATGCGCAGGCTTGCCCAGTCCGACGCGCAAGAATGGAAGGAGCAGGTGGCGCGCCACGGACGCTCCATGACCGAGGCGGAGGAGGTGTTCGGCTCGGTGCCTGGCAGGCGCGCTGCTGGCGCCGCCCGCTGGGCCGCTGCCGCGGCGCCTGCCAGGTCGCCGTCGGCGGCGTCGAGTACGAGAGGCAGGCCCAGCAGGACCGCGCCCGCTTCGGAGGAGGGCGCGGGGAAGCCGGGGTCCCGGGTCTGCAGCGGAGCTGGGCCTCGGTGAGGATTCGCACTCGGCGACCTTCCGTCGCGGGTCGACTATGGACGACAATTCCAATTTCGACGCGTTCGCTCTGCTGGACGCTGAGGAAGGCCTTCTCGAGCCTCTTACTGCCCAGCCCTTGCCAGTTCCAGTTGTTGGGGTTCGGTCTAATCCTGCTTGGGAGACCGCGCCTGTCACCCCGCCGTTGCCCCTCGCAGGTGTCTGGCAGGGAATCCCAGATCGGCACTCCACCTGGGACGCAGTATGAACGCAGGCCAGCGAGCCTGAGGCGGAGCCCGCGCCTGCCGACAGCGCCTGCCGACAGCGGCTGCCTGCACGCGGGCGAGGTCAGCAGACTTGACCCACGCGCTGATGCAGTTCGGCTTGCTGCAGCGGCCTCTCTGGCCAGAGAGCGTGCTCATCGAGCTCGGCCCGCCTGCCTACGATTGCAAGGATGTCCACATCTTCGAATGGGCCTCGGAAGCTCGGGCGAGCATCACTGACGACTACGACATTTGGGTCAGCTCCATGGAAGGTGCCATCCTGCGAGCTGAACAGAAGCCTGCGGCCGAATGGAAGACCCACATCGGCCGCGCAGTGGGCGCCATGACTCAGCGCCGCAGGCTCAAGCCAGCTCCAGGCAGGACTCATGTGCGTAATGAATTTGCTGAATGGTGGGGTACTGCAACCACGCTGATCTCTCGATATGCTGCCCTCCTGCGTTGCGGCAAGGGTCCAGCCCAACTTGACCAATGCCTCCGACGCCTTGGCAAGCACGTCACCACCTTGAACATGGGCCAGAAGGATTCCTACTTTGGCAAGCGCATTTATGTGGAACTTGCTCAGGGTTGGGCGCAGGATGCTGGAGCCCTGCAACACCTTGATGATGATGGATTCCAGATGTTCGTGGATTTGTCATACAAATGTGCTGACATGGCCCAGGGGCGCGCCCGAATGGCCTCCTGGTCCAATTTCATTGCCTGGATCCAGAGGCAGTGGAAGGAGAAACCACGGCTGGCTCATGCCCATGTCAAGCCACAGGCTGGCCCAGAGGAGGAGATGCAGGACTCCCAAGGCCGCGCCGTCAGCGATCCCCAGGGCACGCTGGAGCTCTATCGGGAGCAGTGGGACGAGATTTGGAGAGAGCGAGTTGGCAGCTCGGCCGATTTTCGCTACTGATGTGGCCAGCTCCTGGCGGATGCTCACGCCCAAGAACTGCTTGTTATCACCCTGGGCCAATTGGATTGCGCACTCAAGCTCATGGCTCCTGGCAAAGTGCCAGGCATTGATGCACTGGGACCTCGTGATGTGAAGCGCCTTCCTGATATTGCGCGACGACAGCTGGTGGATGTTCTCGACAAGACCGAGCGTGGAGGTGCCTGGCCGACCACCATCTCCACGGCTCTGGGGGCTGCCGCGCCTTGGGCTTGCTGCCCCTGCCCTTCAAGCTGTGGAGCCGCATTCACGCTGCACCCCCAACTGCATGGTCTGAGAAGCAAGGTGCACTCTGGGATACTGCGGTTGCTGGGAGGTCGGCACTACGTGCTGCGTTGGCGCGTGTCGTTATGGATGAGTGCGCCAACGAGCTCCGCATCCAGCATGCCACGCTATTCCTGGATCTGCAGCAGTTCTACGACTCGATCAGTTTCGTCCTCCTCATGTAGGCGAGCCGCTCCCTGGGCCACCCTGCGACCGTCGCATTGATGGAGGTCACCATGCACGCGCCCCCCCCCCCCCCCCGCCAGGAGGCGAAAGAAAGGTCGCTATGCCAGCCTGACCTTCCAGGCGGGCAAGTCGGTCGTTGCTGGGTCGCCTCGAGGCGTGGACATGGCTAAAGTTGTCCTGCATGGGCTTCTGCACAAGGCTCACGTTGTATCCCCGACCACGGGGCTTTGAACATTCATTGATGACACGGTCTGCCGCAATGAAGGAGTCAAGATGAGGGTTGTCGAAGATATGCTAAAGGCTGCCGAAAATCTGGGGCCACCTCCTCCCAGCAGGCACGGCTCACCATGTCGGACAAGACAAGACTGGTCGTGAGCTCTCCTGGCATCGGGAAGGAGCTGATCTCCTCGCCCACCGCAGTTGGCATTCCAGTCAAACTAACTGGTTCAGCGGTGGACCTCGGCGTGGATGCTGCAGGTGCTAAGTGGCGGAGCCAGAAGAAGTTCCGCATGCGGCTCAAGAGGGCCAAGTTGCGTTCCAACCAGACCCACAGCTGCGCTGACTGCATGGGAGCCACAAGGTTGCGCAAGGCCTGTGGCGGACGGGATCCTACCCTGCGGCCACCTACGGACACCAAGTGACGGGGGCCCCTCCGACCACGGTGCAGAGCTTGCGCCGCCAGGCGGCTGTTGCCATTGTCGGGCACAAGCGTGGACGCTGCCTACAGACGGCGCTGCAAGCGACCCTCGGCATCGACGACCCTGGAGTGCAACTGCGGCGAGCCCTGATTACTGAATGGATCCGGCTATGGCTTGCGCAACCTGCTCTCCACCCCCGTATCAAGCGTGTCTGGTCTATTGTCCGTGCCAAGCTGGGCGACAAGATCTCCTGGAGCGGCATGCGCGGCCCCTGCGCAGCCCTGCAGGCTACCCTTATCCAAGCGGGTTGGGAACCGCCCTCGGCTATCACTTGGCGGCGCCACGGCCCCACTGGCGCGGAGGATTGATATGTTCCCACCGTTGGCGACGATACCTTCCAGAACACTGTTTTGGGCGACTTTGATGAGTTGTTCGCCGCTTTCTCTGCTGACGTTGCTCGGCTTGGATGGCGCAAGGCTGCTGCTCACCCCCACGGCGAGACCCTCACTGGTGGCGCCGATCCGCAGCTGGCACAAGCTGAATTGAATTCCTTCGCGAAGACGGGCTCCATGGACTTATGGGGAGCGACGCTGGCGGCGGTCTCGGGTGGACAGTGGCCTCAGGACCGCAAGTTGGAAGCGGGCCACGACGTGAGCCCGCTTTGCCCTCGCTGCCAACAGCGCCGCGAAACGCTGCTTCACCGCGTCTGGGAGCGCCCAGAAAACAAGTGCCACGACGATTACAGCGCCACGGATTTTTTAATCACTGCAGCCCCTGCGGGCGCCGACTCCGACCCTGCCCTTCGGCTTCGAGGGGTCCGCGCGTCATCGCTCACTGTGCCGCGGTGCGTGGCGCCTCCTGGGCTATCCGACCCCATCCCTTTGGGCGGCGTGCCCTTGCTGGACCTCTCGTCGCCACTGGGAGGGCATCCTCTCCATGTTTTTGGGAGCGGGTCGGGGGGGAATACACGTCTGACCGTCGTAGGCGCCGCTGTGGATCGGCCGCAGCGTGTCTGGAGCGCGGCTGCGACGACGCGGTTTCCGTCCCGACCGAAGCGCGGCCCCCAAGGAGCGGACTCGCTGCCCCCCTGTCTGGAGCAGCACATACGGCCCCCAGGGCTGAGCTGCTCGCCCTCGCCCTGGCCCTCGACCACACCCAGGGTCCATTTGTTTACGCGCGTGATTACAAGCCTCTTGTGGACGGCTGGAGAGCGGGCCGTCCTTGGCGGCCCGCTGGGCGCAATTCCGATTTGTGGGTCAGAATCCGCCTGGCGGCTGATCGCCGCGGGCCTGGCCTGGCGGACGTGCTCTGGACCCCGTCCCATCTCGAAGATGAGCCAGGGCGCATCTCGCCCCCGTTGCAATGCTTCCTGTCTCAGGACAACGCAGTTGCTGACGTCTGGGCGGGTTGGGCGGCGAAGCGGGGCTGGGATATGGCCGTTGCTCTGCCGGTGCCGCAGACGGGCAGGCATGATGTTATAGCCTCCTTGGTCCGTCGGCGTGCGAGGCGAGCGATGATTGATACCTTAGTCTCAGCCCCGTGGAATGCGGATCGCCCAGCCGAGGTCCGAGCCAAGCCGCTGTCCAAGTTGTCTGCCGCCCTAGCCAGCACCTCCCACCGCTTGCAGAAGCTGAGCCAGGGAAAATTATGTTGCGCAGGCTGTCGTGAACTCGTGAAGTCAGCCGACCTGGCGGCGTTTGCTGGTCCGCAGTGCGGCGCCGTCTCCTCGGCCCCCCCTGTCGCCGCGGCGGACGCGGCTCCACTCACTGGTTCGGTGCCTGCCTCTGGTGGAGCGCCTGGCGCGGCCCCGATTTGCGGAGCGCCGCGTGGTGCTGCGTCGGCTGCCCACAGTGGCGAGCCCTCGGTGCGGTCTCCTGGCCTGGCCCCTCCTCCCGGGCGGTTCACGGGCGTTGGATTCTCGCGTCTGGCGGGCGAGATCAAGGTCGGAGGCCAAAGGCTGTATGGCAGCTCCTTGCACGAATGACAAGAAATGGCACGAGGTTCTGCTCAGCGCGCGGTTGCACTGCCAATGTCGACCCGCGCAGGCTGGTTGCCCCCTGTCAGAAGCCTGCTGCTAAGGGCAGGGGGGACCTCTCTCGGATTACTAAGGGCCTCCTCCCCTCCTACAGAGGGCCTCCTGCTGCTATCGCGAGCGCACAGGTGGTGGCCCTCGCCTCCGAGGCCAGTCCTCGGAGGGTTGGCGAGCACGGCCCTGTTGAATTGGATGAATACCTTTGGTATTCCTCCTTGCCTGAAGTTCGTTTTAAGGAGGCCCCCAAGGCGGGGGTCCCCCCCAGGAAAGGGGCGGGGACCGAGGGCCCGGCGGGGCTGGCGTCGTCGTCGCGGGAAGGGAGGCCGAGCGAGGGAGCGAGAGCGGGGGCGGAGAGCGAGCGCGCCGCCCTCCGCGCCGTGGCCGCCTCGCCCCGCCCATCGACGCCGCCCGCGCGGAGGC